GACACACTCCGGACACATATCCGTCACATATCCAGAGTGCCTAACCACCAACTTGCTAGCTTCCCAATAGAAAGACCAAAGGCAGCGTTTTCCAAAGTTGTTGCGGCTAACCAGAATTCCATCTCGTGGAGATTCTCGCCCGCAGCCATACCACTATCTCTCGAGGTGTGCGTGAAAAGACCAACTGTGCACCTTGAAGTGCCGGGGATGTCTAAAAAGAGAAGCCTGTCATCTGCAGCCCTCAAGCAGATCTCACTGGACCTTTTGCATTTGTCGTATGCTAACCAAATTCATGTTTACACGGACGGTTCGGTCTCGGAAAGTTCAACAGGTGCCTTTGTCATACCATCTCGATCAATCACCGTCAAATTAAAGACATCACACGTCACGACATCTACGGGATCCGAGCTCGCCGCTCTTTGAGCCGCTGTGGAGTTTGTCACGCAAGAATCTCCTAGTAGATGGGCCATTTTCTGCGACTCCAAAGCAGCCCTTCAATGCGTGCGAAGTCTACGATGTGAAAATAACCAACAGATTGTGTATTGTAATAACGAAAATTTTCATCGCGCCGCTGATCAAACACACGATATTGTTTTGCAATGGTTGCCGGCCCACTGTGGCATCAGTGGTAACCACCTCGCCGACGACACTGCCCGATGTGCCCACGATGGAGCGCCCACACTGTTAATATCCTTGTCAAGAGTAGACGCAGCTAGAGAACTTCGTCACATCGCGCATAATGCCACGCTTGCGCATTGGAATTCTCCACTTAACTCCAATCATCGCCCTAAGAATTTTAAGTCATTACTCCAGAAACAACTGTCATCCAAGATCTCTCGACGTGACGCTACAATGCTGTGCTGGCTGTGGACTAGGGTACTGTTTACTAAGTCATTCAGCCATCGCATTGGCATGGCAGATTCATCCATGTGTGAAAGCTGCAACTGTTTTTAGAGACTATTGAACATCTCTTGTGCCACTGTGCCCAATTTGATGAAGATGGCCGGACTCTCCAGTGTGCCTTGAATAGACTCGATGACCAGCCATTTAATGAAGCAAAGACCTTAGGAGCCTGGTCGCGCAGCACATCAGCACAGAAAGCCACATGAGCCCTCCTGAGATACTTGACAGCAACTTCATTGAGGGACCACCTGTCAAACTCGGTATTGTGTGTGTGATGTGACATGTGTCTATCCTTCTCTCTCTTTTTTACCTCCTCTCCCCCTCCCCATGTGTAGGGTAGCAAACTGGACGCATAGTCTAGTTAACCTCCCTACCTTTCCTACATTCCTTCTCTCTCTCACTCTCTCTCTCTTGTGACTCCTGCGTTCCAACCTTGTTCATTATAGTGAACGAGAAACGAAGACAGCAGCAGTGAACTTGGAGTTTTGTACTCACATGCACAATTGATTTTACACCACTTCCACGCACAACACAATTATCCGAATGCGACTACATCGCATCACGGTGCCCATACGTGCCTTTCGTAGTGACCGTGGAAGCTTAAAGACGATTTGCGCACACCCTTGAAAATCAATAAAGCACAAAATTGAGCACAAAACTCGAAGAAAACACACTGGTAAAAAAATTGCCCGCAGCTTCCCTCGGGGGAACACTGAGGAGGATGCGGAGCATATAATTGGTTAACGGGGTGTTAAAGTGTGACTTACTTGGGTCGATGGCTAAATTGGTTAACACGTATGCGAAAGGGCGGCGCTGGTCGAAGGGACGTCGATCATTGTGTTTGTGGATTCGTTAAAATTCATTTCACCGCGACCTTGGACGTCGACGCGCCGTACAAACCAACCGACGAGCGGCAACTGAGCGAGCGAGCGCCGACCTTGAGTATATATACAGCGCGACGGCGCATGCACTGTCAGCTGTTGAATGTTCTCGAAGCGCGACGCCACATGCGCGTCCACTGGAGAATCAGGAGAATTGTAGATGTCGAACGCGGTGTGCAGAGGAGGAAGGGTGCACAGATGGTGGAGGAGTGCAGCGCGCGCGGTGTGTAGAGGAGGAAGGGATGCACAGATGGTGGAAGAGTGGGCGACGGTGCGACGGCGCATGCGCGCGCGTCAGCTGTCGAATGTTCGAGAAGCGGTGCGGACGGCGCACTACAAGGCGCGAGTATAAGATGCTTCCGCATCTAAAAACCACCACGGTTGCTTACGCCTTAAATATTTTCTTAAATGATAATGATATTCAAATAAATCCGGAACAAAATCACTCAGTGCAATCGTTTTTGAAACAGTACTAAAATACTGTTGCTGTGGTAAAAGTGTAAATTTGCAAAAACATATGCTGAAGAAAAGTATAGAGACATATTCTGTTGGTTTTTTTGAAGGCGTGCATCGGGATGCAATGCTGAAAAGATCGAGCGAAAGCCCTCTCAAATTTGTTGTTCCGTAGTCGTTCGTCGCTTTTTTTTATCCTTCTTTTACTGGAGTATTTATCTCCCGCACGATCTAATTCGGATCTCTGTGGACTCTTGCATCGTTGGTGCTTTAAGAAAATTGTAGACCTCACAATCACTTTCTGGGGCTCTTTTTTGTGCTCGGAAATGTTTAGATTGTTACTATGTATCCGGGGAAACGTTTCAACAACAGTTGAGAAATAATAAGCTGGGATGTCCAATTTTGTCGTATTTTCATGGATGGCAGTGTTGTGGTTTGTCGGTATGCGCCCATCTAAGCGCTTACGAGCTTGTAACGTGACTATATTCACGTAATACGACGCAACATCTATTTACTTGAATAAAAGCACGTACGATAAAGCAACTACTAGTCCCGTTACTGAAATCACCTTACACAACGAAACAATCCTCACATGGCTCAAGATCACGTGACATCGTAAAACAGATACTCACACGACATATTCCCGCCAAAACCATGAGCTAGGTGTGCTTTGCAGGGAAGCGCCTGGAACCGAAAAAGAATAGCCAAGCTTGAGCATACTTAGTGCTGTAAGCGAAAGCACTAAGTATGCTTTCGCTTACGCACTATGCATACGCAGTATGCATCTCTAACAACATCTTCGCATCACCAGTCGAAACATAGAAAAAGTTGAAAGACGCTTGCGAATACCCTTCAGGAGGAGAACTTGATAGTCTAATCAGGCCCCGCGCACATTGCCTTCTAAGTTGGTAGCCTGATTTCGGGTTGTGTGCGTATCTGAACCATGCCGTGAGCAGACGAATGACTCGATGCGCAGCATTGGCTATATAAAGGAATTCACTAGAAGCTTTACTGCACACGCAGTTGTAAAGTGCCCACTACGTCATAATTCTTCAACCCTTCCTGAATCAGTGCAGACTCCGCTATGCGTTCGTAAGACAACACACGAACATACGGAACTGCTCACTTTGTTGATGCTTTTGCAGCTGATAAAAACTAGGTATCTGAGCATTTCGAAAGAGTGAACCCTTAAAATAAGCACTCGTTGAGCAATATACAGGTTTTGTTACTTGACTCATCTCTATGCTTCTGACACACAATATCACGTGCGTTACTTTGTTCCTCTCCATCACACTAATATATGTCTTGTATGTGTGTGTGTGTGTGTGTGTGTGTGTGTGTGTGTGTGTGTGCGTGCGTGCGTGCGTGCGTGTGTGTGTGTGTGCGTGTGTGTGTGCGTGTGTGTGTGTGTGTGTGTGTGTGTGTGTGTGTGTGTGTGTGTGTGTGTGTGTGTGTGTGTGTGTGTGTGTGTGTGTGGGTGTGTGGGTGTGTGAGCAGATTCAATACATATTACCGCTCTGTGTTAAAATACCTACTTACCGCGTAGACTGCCTGGGTTCGATTGTCACTTTAACCGAAAAGTTTTTAAAGACGAAAGTCTTTCTTGGGGACCTTCGACGCTAAAATTTTTGTCTGTCTGTCTGTGCATTTGTCTGTTTGTTTACTTTTAACGGCACCGGGTACTTGAAGCGGCCGATCCCATCCGCAGCGCCCACCAATGTTGCTCAAAATTTAGCGTTCGTACTTGTGCAATTGTCAGTTATTAAAAATTATTGCGCAAGTCTGGGGCACCATAACGAGTATGTATTCTGTATGTGCATCGTTTACTAGAAAATGCATATAGAAGTAATTTTAAGGACTGTAGCGCTAATCACGCTGCGCTGACCACGCACGCTTATACGTGAATGTGGAAGTTTCCAACGCTTTGCTAAGACGCGATGGTGATGGCACCTATCCATCGCCTTGCGTTCCTCACCTTATCACCTCTGAAACGGGCGCGCACACTCGTCTCAGAGCAATGTGCTTCGTTTTGCAAGAAGACTGCCAGGTGGTGCTCATGTCTCACGTTTGACGTGACTTGATGCGCTCGTTTGCCTCCGCTGCACACTCGAGGCACTCTAACGCAGCGCCTTTCAAATACCATTCACCGATTTCCTTGCGCAGAACATCAAATTAATTGTTCACTCTCTCCACACGCAAGACTATCTTCTTTCGACGACATTTGCAGATTACATGCAGATACGGGGCCAATTTTTTTTATTCGTTTTATTTCTACTCTTTGAGTTTTTAATCATGGGCAAGCTTATATCTTTTCACTCACAACGAACGGCACCGACACCGACGTCAATGCCGGAAGTGCTGCAAAAGTAGCTATTTGAAGCTTTCGCGTCTAATACTCATTCGTGCGCTCACACTGCTGTCGGTGCGATCCTGACGCTACAATTAAAAGCTCCGCTTTCTTTTTTTCAGAAAACTTCGCGAAAACTCGTCAAGGCTCCATCCAGCATGCAATTGGTGCTGAGCCAGTGATTACCAAGAAAGCTCCCGAGATTGTAATGCAAGTCTGAATACGAAAGGAGTGCGATGTGGCGTGAAAGCTTTTGTAGCAGCAATATTGTTCATCCAACTTCTTTGAGAATCGGACAACCTGCTTACATTGTTGCGCATATAGTCTTAGAATTTCACAGTGAAGAAAACAATCGCGTGTCAGCTTGCGATGTGCGGAGTCCATTAAAAACACTTGCTGTAGTCACCTATGAACGATGCTGCTTAGAATCTGGCTCATTGTAATTTCAATAGGCTTAATTTTACCACTTATGTGGCTTCCACTTTGTGTCCAGCGTAAGCTCTAAAACGACGCTAGCGCAAAGAACATGGTGGAGACGCTGGTAGTTAAAATTTTTGTTTATTGCGGTTGTTTGACGCTAATAGAAGGGAATTCTTGGCCTTTCCCAAGGAAGGCTCACAGCATGAAAAAGGTAGGTTTTTTATGATTATCGTTCATGTATTTACTGTATATTGTTTGTTTACGCTTTTAAGTCAATTTTCAAACATGATTCACAATAATTCATGATTAGCATGTTGCATTATTGTGGCCAGAACAATTACTTAGGTGTCGTGTAGAACCATCCCACTGTTCTAAACATGAACTTTGTGATATATAAGCTTCGTCAATATTCCAACAAGTACTGGATGGGTTTATTAGTCGAGTTGCATAATGAGCGTATTCACGTTGCCGGCATTAACACAGCTTACCACCTCATTTGTGGTAACAATGTTAGAGTGAAAAAAAAGTTAACAGTCTTGTTTATAAAGGTTGCATCGGAAAATTGACTACGCATAATCCGAAAACGCTAACAGTCATGCTTGCCCGCTAAAGCACTGTGCCGGTCCTTGTTGAAAAGTGCAAGGCAAAAATGAGTGATAAGACCTGCATATCTAAAGCGCAGAAGTATAATACTGGGTGACGTACAAACTGATGTAATAATCAAGAACGCTTCAGGGTGTTCCAGGTCAGTAACATGAAGGACGAAGCGAAAAGGGCGAAAGTTTTGGGGCAAGAGTTTAAGGCAATGTCTTAAGTGTCCAGGAACAGACGAAGGAAAGAGCACAAATTTAGGACTAATGTAGCCATCTCTGATTTCGCAATATGAGTGGCTTCATGGATAGTCTCAGAAGCTACTGAAAAAGTGCAGGGGAAGATGAGTGCTCGTTTGCGGCCACAAAAGACAACAATCACATTTTAGTAATCTGGGTTCGCATCTTATAGAAGCGACATTTTGGAAAGAGCGAGTGCGTCGCGACGTGCCGTCAATAGATTATTTGACTAATCGAAGTTCAATGGTCCTCGGATATCTGTGGGTTATACGAACTCCAATCTAGAGAGAACTATATAGTCAGCATGCATGTTGAGGAGCTTACTATTGAGGTGCTAGGGGTAGCCAGTTCTCGGGTGAGTTACATGACCCATCAAGTGTTGATGAAAGCATGTCGAACGCTGAAGACAGACAATATCTCGCCAAAAAGTAGCAGCCATAATCTGTGAGAAGCTCCGCGAAAAGAAGGTATATGTGATCCCATCGTTAGATAGAAAAGTGGCGATAATGGTGGCGCCCCACATCGGGAGAACCCGTGTGATTACCATGACAGTCGAATAGTCTGTGGCAACGGCAATGCGCTTTTGCTAAGGACTCACATGAGAAAACATGAAAGTAGGTTCGATCTTACGGGGAAGGATAATTGATAGAGGATGTCATCATAATGCATATTTACAGCTTTTGCGTCGTTCGCAGCGCCCACAGGTTCTGACCAACTGCTGATGAGAACGGTATATTTCAAAAGCAAGCACCGACGGATGTAGTTTGAATGACGCCAACGTGTCCACTGTCGAATGCATCGGGAAATTGACATTATACTGAGTGCACAACCACGCATCGTCCAGGATGTGGAAGTGCTTGGCAAGGTACAATGCCGTGGCCATAGAATGGTACGGTCCCGAATTCGCCTAGACTTGAAGAAGGAACGACGTAAACGAATACGGAAGAAGCCAATTAATGACCTAGAACTGAGACGGAATGTACAGGAATTCAGAGTCTCGCTTCAGAAGAGGTACTCGGCTCATATCGAAGATAACAGCCTTAGCGTTGACGCAATGAATGATAATCTGTTAAGTACCATTACGGAGTGTGCCGTGGAAGTTAGAGGTACTGTAGTTCGACAGGACACTGGGAAGCTGTCCCAGAAAACAAAGAATTCTATAAAAAAGCGTCAAAGCATGAAATCCTCAAGTACCACAGACAAAATAGAGTTGGGAGAGCTTTCTAAGTTGATTAATAAGCATAAGATATTCGATGTAAGAAGGTATACCATGAGGAAAATGAACACACTCCGAAAAATGGAGGAAGCGCTCAAGCAGCGAAGAGAAATCTTGGGATAGGCAAAAACCAGATGTATGCTCTAAGGGACAACGAAGGCAAAGCAACTACTATTATGGAGAGGATAGTAAACTTAGCAGAAAAGTTTTACAAAGATCTGTACAGTAGCCAGCACAACCACGACGTTATTATAAGAACTAGCAGTAACCGAGATGAGACCCCATCAGTAATGACAGAAGAAGTCAGAAAAGCCTTGATGATCAAGCAAAGAGGCAAAGCTGCTGGTGAAGGTCAGGTAACATCAGATCTGCTAAAAGATCGCGGACAGATTGTGTTAGAACTAGCGACCCTGTTTACGAGGGGTCTCCTGACGGGAGGAGTACCAGAATCTTGGAAGAATGCTAACATCATCCTAATACATAAGAAAGGAGATCACAAGGACTTGAATTACAGGCCAATGAGCTTGCTCTCCGTAGTAAACAAGGTATTTACAAAGGTGTTTGCTAACAGAATTAAAACGACATTAGAATTCAATCAACAAAAGAAACAAGCAGGATTTTGAACAGGCTACTCAACAATTGACCACATTCTCATGTTCAATCAGGTAATAGAGAAATGCTCAGAATATAGCCAACCACTATACATAGTCTTCATAGATTGCGAAAAGGCGTTTGATTCAGTAGAAATATCAGCAGTCATGCAGAGACAGCGGTATCGGGGCGTCTACAAAGCATATATAACCATCCTAGAAGAAACGTACAGAGGATCAACTTCTACCATAGTGCTTCCTAAAAAAAACAAGAGAGTAGCAATCAAGAAGGGCAAAAAGCAGAGAGATAAAATCTCCGCAATGCTATTTACCGCGTGCTTACAGAGTTATTCAGAGGCCTAAAATGGGAACAGTTAGGCATAAGATGTGTTATAGAGAGTACTTTAGTAACCTGCGCTTCGTCGATGACATTGCATTGCTGAGTGACTCAGGGGACGAATTGCAATTCATCATTATGGAGTTAAGCAAGGAGAGCAAAAATGTAGGTCTTAAAATTAATGTGCGGAAAAGGAAAGTCATGCACAACCTCGGAAGAGAACAGCACTTCGAGATAGGTAATGATGAACTTGAAGTTGTAAAAGTCCATGTCTACTAAGGACAGGTAATAAACGTGGATTCGAACCACGAGACTGAAGTAACTAGAAGAATAAGAATGGGGTGACGCACATTTAGCAAGCACTCTCAAATCATGACAGGTAGATCCCCACCATCCCTCAAAAAGAAGATATATAACAGCTGCCTCTTGACGGTACTTAGCTATGAAGCAGAAACCTGAAGACTTACAAAGAGAGTTCAGCTTAGATTGAGGACGACGCAGCGATCAACGGAAAGGAAATTGGTAGGCATAACCTTAAGAGAGAAGAAGAGAGCAGAGTGGATTAGCGAACAAACCGGGGTTAAGAATATTATAAATGAAATCAAGAAGAGGACACGGATATGGGCCGGGCTTGTAACACGTAGACAGGATAACCACGGGTCATTAAGAGTAACTAACTGGATTCTTAGAGAAGGCAAGCGGGTCAGGAGGAGACAGGAGGGTATGTGGGCAGATGAGATTAGGAAGTTTGCGGATATAAATTGGCATCAGCAAGTACAGGACTGTGTTGACTGGCGGAACATAGGAGAGGCCTTCTTCCTGCAGTGGACGTAGTCAGGCTGATGATAAGGATGATGTTTTATGTTAGAATGAGTCCTTCATTCGACACGGCATCCCACAATTATTAAAAGAATTTATTCTACTGTTACAGTAAAAACAACACAAAATTATTTATTAGTGCGTGAAGGCTAGTCAATCTTCAAAATTAACTATTCATAGTCCTCTCCCATGCACGGATGGTGGGCTTTTTTCTCCTCTGGATAACACGTTAAACGTTTGTTTAAATAGGGAAATCTTTATTATAGTCTTCACGTGGTGTTGTATAGTGTAATGTAATGTATTCACTTGCAGTGTTTGTTAAACCTTAAAAAAAGAAGAAATAGGTGTTTCATGAGAAGACGGAGGAGAGGTCAGCATTGAAAGTGTGTTTCTGGCCTGCTACTCTTCACGGGGGCAAGATTAAATGGGAAAGAATTAGAATCGTATGATGAGGAGTGATTGTGGTAAAGCACAATGAGTCACTGCACACAATACCTTGATCGGTGTAGTACACGCACAAAAGTCTATACATTAATAAATGCTCTAAAGACTGGAATTCACTGCTTTCTTGCTTAAAACTGTGAGCAGGCCCTTTAAACTGTGTTGGGCGTGATCCACACGTTCTTAAGCACCCAAAAGTTTCTTTTCTTAAAGGGTTCGGCAGTCCAGGTCATCTGTGGGGCGCTTAAAAGACAGTCTTTCAACTGCGTATAAAGGGAATGCACACACGATGTGATTAATAGTCTCTGACGTGTTACAAAAGTTGCAGCTAGGATTTTCGTCTTGTCCAATCTTGCATAAGTATCGCCGCGTGTATGCAACACCCAAGCGCAGTCTATGTAGTAGCGTTTCTTGGTCTCACCTTCGAGCGGAAGACGGAAAGCACGACAAGAGGGAAGCGTGTGAAGAGCTCGTGGCGATAATCCAGATCATACCATCGTCCTTGCATAGATGTCTTCATACCTTTAGACAGCAAGGCGTTGACGTCTAATCGGGAAAGTGAATTGATATCACTTCGCCACTAGTGTGTGCAATTTTCGCTTCTGCATCAGCTTGTTCATTCCCAGCAGTGCCACAGTGACTGGGAATTCATTGCAACGCAATGGTAGGTCCGCACTGAAATGCCTTATTCAACATATTCATTATGTCGCTCAACGGAGGACTGTATGCAGTGTCTCGTTTCATGTAGTTTCTAACTAGCAGTAGTGCCAGCTTTCAGTTGCAAAATAATGTCCATTTCACTGGACTCTGCTGTAAAATGTAGCACGCAGCTTGTTGGACGCCGGTCAGCTCGTTGGCAGTAGATGATGTCCAGTGTGCTATTTTGAAGCTTTGAGTGATTCCCAATTGAGCCACAGTGAAAGCTGCTACTGAGGAGGTCTGCGTGACAAAGCCATCTGCAAAAATACGTACCGCATATCCGTACATATAGTCAATATACGACAAAGTGAAATGCTTAGGACCAGCAGTTGGTATTTTTGACTTATTTGTTATCCCTGCGATCGAAAGTCGCACGATCCGCTTAGGAATCGTCCAGAGTGGTATGTCGGGGATAACATGTGGTGCATAATTTGAAGGCAGCGCATCTGTGTGCGACATAACAGCTTCTCAGTATGCAGCATTGGTTCTTGTGTTAAAAGTGTCTGCCAGTGGATGGTGTCGTTGCCTTGTCAGTAGCTTCAGATGTACTCGTAGTAGTTCGTGTTGAAGATAAACACGAGCTGGACAAGCACGTGCTTCTGCAATAGTGCTACATATAGAAGTACATCGAGGTACTTCTTGGTAAATTCTTGGGGATCGCGCCTGAGCTCTTTCGAGTGTACGGACAGCCGTTGTGCGAGCACGGGAGAGAACAGGAGCACTGTAGCGAAGTTATCCAATAAAAAGTGCCTGGTATAGCTGCAGTAGAGATGATTCCGATGGTCCCCATTATTTTTCAGACATATATCAAATGACCTGGACATAGCTGTCTGTTTTTTTTCTTAGCGATGAGATGTGCTTCGATCAAGGCAAATCACCATCGATGATAACTCCGAGGAACTGGTGATGAGTTACCGAAGTTATTATGTGCCCATTGATCACTATGGGGTAGCAAGCCATGAACTTTTCGTGAATGGCAGGGTTGCACTTTTCGTCGGTGACAGCTGCAGTCCGCAGGTATTGAGGTATGCAGACGTAGTCGATACTGCACGTTGTAGTTTCTTTTGTACTTGCAAACGTGTTAGACTTGTGGTCCAAATGCAAATGTCATCTGCGTACACAGGCACTGAGATTTCGCCTCCTAGTTTACTGAGATTTTTAACGAGGCCAACAAGTACAATCAAAAATATAGTTGGGCTCAGGACTCCACCTTGAGACGCGCCACGATAGACGGGATGCTTATTTGTGTCACCGTTGGCAGTGGCCATGAATATAGTTCGTTCTTGAAGATAGCTGGCTATTCATTGATGCATGCGGCCACCATTGCTATAAACTTCAAGAGCATTTAAAATGGCGTGATGAAAAACATTGTCGAATGCACCTTTGATATAAAAAAATACTGCAGCCGTCTATGATGTTCAACGGTTGCTACCAAGTCAATCACACTGCCAATTGATGACCTTTCCTTCCGGAAGCCAGTCATGACGTCTGGGTATACTCTTTGATTTTCTAGGAACCATTCCAAGCGCATCAGAGCCTTTCCTTTCATGAGTTTTCCTACAGAACTTGCTAGCGCCACATGTCTGCAGAACAGCATATCACGGGGAAGCTCGCCTGGTTATAGCAATGCCTCGTGCTAGTTTTCCAGTGTGCCGGTAAAGTTCCAGTTGCCCAAGCAAGGTTGTACAAAGACAGCGGTTCTTAGGTTGCCCGAGGACCAAGGTGGTGCAGAGTAGCACGAGTTATTTCATCAGGCCGAGGTGCACTGTAACGTTGCGAAGTGGACATAGCCACACGAAGCTCTTGCAGCGTGAAGGTATGGTCGAGACAGACGTCTGTCGTAGGGGGTGCGCTCCGAAGCAGTGAGCCATCCGTTGTTGCAGAGCCAGATAGGTGCATGCAAAATTCTTCTGCGATCTGTTTCTCGTTGCATGCTTGTATGATGGCCGATGCACGGAAAGGAAGCATTTGCTGAAGAGAAGATACTAGAGATCATATGACATGCCATATTTTATACATTAGGTTTCGTGGGTCCAGGGTGATGCAAAATGACTTCCAGTTTTACTGGCCAAGCTTTTCTTGCTACCTCTAAGTTTTCTTTTGCACGTTTCGAGAGGTCCTCAAGTCTGTGATCAATTTCGTCCACCTGTATTTGCGTTCATCTCGACGATGAACTGCCCGCAGCTTTTTGTATACCACATCAACCGGCTCCCTGGAATTAGATGTTGAGACAACACGTGTAGTGGTCTGTACTGCTTTGGCAATTCTTTTTTCAATTTCTGTCGGAGAAACTATAGAGCTACAAGACTGTTCTAGGTCTTCATTCTGAGAATTGCTGACTTTCTACGAAAGCATGCGGAGAGAAGGTGACCGTGTTGAAATTTTTCTTTTTGCTGAGCAACACGTCATGAAATGACGCCAAATATATGTACAAGTGTTGCACGCACAGACGTAAGTTGAAGAGTTGCAGATGTTTATGTAACCAGTAGTTTGCACTAGCGCAAGGATGTCAACTGGAACATGCGTATTAGCAACACCATAAGCTCATATGGAGCACTGATGCTCGCGAACATGCTGGCCCAGAACAGTGCTACAGAAATCAACTTCAGCGTATAGCACTTAACCACAATTGACGTTAACCTGACGTGACGGCTGTATCAAGGGAGTACATACGTAATGGTTATAAAATTGGGTTGGCAGCACTGCAACCACAATATTGACGTTTCATGAAGATTAGCGTCTATGTAAGAAGTAGTTCCGAGGCCTGGTGTAGTTCTGTGGGAGAATGCTCGACTGCCACGCAGAATGTCTGCATTAGATTCCTGCTGGGACCCTGAAATTTATTATTTGCAATCGTCGTGGCGTTAACGCTGCCAATGTGAGTTTTTTTTAATACTGAAATTTATGATATGCTTTCGTTAGGTCGACGCTATCGATGTCGGGTATTGCTTAACACTCACGCGTTGAAACTGCCTTTGTGTGTTTTCGTCGTTCCTCGGTAGATAGTAAGTGCCAACCACCTGTGGCACATACCCGCATACCAGCGGCACATACCACCCCGTGGGTACGTGCCACTGTCTGGCGGGAAGTGTTTGACGGCGTACTTGACAGAATCGTGACATAATTCATGTTATGACCAGTGCGTCATAATCATCAAAGCATCTTAATCCTCGCATCCTAGTTTTGGTTCACGCCAAGGGGGTGACCACGAAAGCACCCAAACGTAAGCGGCTAGATAGATAGACAAATTGATGAGCTCAATGTCTCCGAAGTTCCCCAAGAAATGCTTCACATTTGAAAGAAGGACCAAAAAGGATCAGGAGGACCGAATAACATGCCAGCCCAGACGCTAATACCCAAGAAAGTGGAGCGAAGCACATGGAATAAAAAGACAAAGAAGAAAAGAAAGGAAAAAAACTTAATTCGGAAGGGTTTGAGACAGGGGTCATGAGCTTGATGGGTGGCGCCCCAAGTGCAGGGCTTCACTAACGGCTGCCGCCTGCCTGACGTGACGCAGAAGTTCAAGCTGCACCTCTGGGTAAGAGCTGGTGAAGGCTATGAAGGATTCAGCATGGAAAATGAAAGATTGCAATCAAGATAAAAAACGAGCACAAATTTTAATTTTAAGGTAAGACTTTGTAAGTCAAGACTGAGTCCAAACATATATCTGTGCATTGTGTTAGAGGGTTTTGTGGAGTATGTCGCTGAGTTCCTTGCTCGTTCCTTTGCAGGTGGTTGGCGACGGTGGTGGTGCTCTCAGCGATTATTTCTCTCTCTATCTTCTTCTTCGAAATCACCATTTCACACTTGTCATGTTCATTTACAATTCAGACAAGGAACTTTCGACGTTTACTGTAAACTCAGTATGAACATCTCGCCTTATCTTCATGTTATCCGTATCATTAACCTGGGCATCGTGATTTGTTTGTTATTAGGGGATCGCTAGTGTTATTAGAGAATCCAAAGTAGTGCTTTACTTCAGACTCACCCTTGGAAACATTGAGTTTATTCAGTGTATTATTTTGACTGTTATGTCTGCAATTTTTTTGTTTCAGCTTTTTTCTACGAAGGATCCCATATGGACACACACGACATCTGGAAACACCAATATAAGATGTTTAGTGGACAAGGTTAACGAAATGGAAACGAAGTCCGTACTCTTCACACGATCTTGCTACAACCAGAAATATAAGTAATATTCTAGACATATCAAACTGAAAATGAATACCTATATATTTGTAATTTACATATCTTACAGGGTGTCTAGAATGTTTAAAGGAATATTTGATAAAGACCGCAAAAAGAATATGGACGTCATAAATTTAGGTATGTCGGAGAGCTCACTTCTACCTTTTTATAATTCAATTTCCATCAACATGTCAAGTTTTAAATATATCAGTCGATATTTTCAAACGTTTCTGCCAAATGTTTGAAAATATCAACTATCAAAATTATCAGTCGATATTTTTCAAACGTTTGATATTTTCAAACATTAGGCTATATACATGCTTTAACTATGGTTTCTAAGTAGGTAAGTGCTTCAAAAGCGGCATGAAGCTTGTAACTATTAATATGTACATGAATGTTAAAAAATATCATGATTGCGTCTTTCCACGACCGGCGTTTGTGGACTTCTGGGACCGTAGTTCAGCCCTCTCTCTCGAAAGACCCTTGATTCTCACTGTTATTTTTAGAGAAGCGCTGATGACATGTCAATTGGTGGTAGTGTATTGAAAACATGCCAGTTCTTGCATGAGAAAAAAATTCACGTAATCCAGGCCTAGTACCGACTCGGAGGAACTTCGCCATTATCCGCCGTAACAAGTTGCCTGTAATATTTTAGGAGCGAGGTGCACCAACATATATAGCTACAGAGAACTTTATCATGCAATCAACAGAATATTCGCAAACTAAGGCTCTTTTTTACAAACAGCGATCAGTTAATGAGCTTGGGGAAAAACGTGTATGCCGTATCCATGTGAATGACTATCGAGAAGAACTTGATAAGGTATATATGAGGAGCGTGCCCGACAAGCTAACCTTATGGAGTGGATATCTGCGCATGTAATTAACGCACTATACGAAAGAGTGTTCGTATCAAACCAGCTATTTTGAAGGAAATGAGCAGTCTATAACTGAATTCGGCCCCCAGATTGCATCATTATTTAAATTTTAGCTTGGCTACGCCACATTGGAGCAGTTTTAAAATGAAAAATGCATACGACGTCTGCACCATTGACCAGAACCAACCCTTGAATAGAAAATTTACGTCGTAGAGTTTTCTCTTTTTGGGGATCCGAGTGAGTCGGGGTATATCATAGTCACTTGGTGGTAATGATAGCTAATTGACAATTAGACAAGAAACATAGAGGGGATGTTATTTCTTGTAATTGTAATGTAATTGTGAAGAAATAATAGTGCTCAAAATGGCTCAAAATGATAACTTACCACTGCCAGAGACCAACTTATGTCGACGGTTCTTCGGGAGTCGCAGGCCATCTAAAAGTGTAAAGAAAATGAACACATTCGGGCTAAGTGGTTCATTACTATATTTTCTACAACATCCCACCACTGTTCGGGTCTAATATTAAAAAAACAGCCTCTATACCAAGAAAGTGAAATGAGTCAGTTATCAATATTGTTTTTTAAAAGGTCAAGAAGACGTCTGAGATGAAGGCCGCGCCTGACTGCTGTCAATGACCACAAACGATCAAAGTGTGAGATAGATTCTCAAATAAGACGGCATTTTGAGTCTCCATCTGATGACACGGGCATTCAAAATTCAAGAAAATGTCACTAACAAGATTATAATGAATAAAGTTTCAAGTATGAAAAGAGTGCACCAAGATTTTCCCCAAAATTTTTAACAGATGACCAAAAACGTTTCTGTTAAACAAACGAAAAACTTTTAAACGTATGCGACAGACGGCCACAGTTGAGTGCTTGAAAAAAAAACCTAAAACAAAAATAAAAAAACCGCATAACACACGTCGGCGTACCCTCCACCCAAGAGGCTACCATTAGCAAGTCAATGGTAAACGCCATGCTTATTGTGCTTTTTTTGTTAAAGGCATGTTGCAATGCATTGATACCTTAAGGCACAATCATCCTAACATTCCTAGAGAGATTGATCAATAGGCTAAAAGGAACGGTTATGGCATCCGACCTGACATAGCTGGAGGATTGAAAACATGGATAACAATGCAACAGCCTACACTGCCTTCATCATGAGCCTTCTCCTGTTCTATACAGTGAGACCAAATTTTGCGAATCCACCTGCACTCCTGAATTCACTCTTCAGACTTTCATTTCAGAGCTTGCAATGTTGCCACATATTCTCTAATGAACATTTGGCAGGTAATATACCATGACACTTTAAATACCAAAACATTTTGCTAGAGGTGGTGAATCAGTGTAAGAGGAGCCTATTTTGAAACCTTTGAATTCGTCGTACTGATCTGATCAATACAACTTTTTGTAAGTATTTATTACTTTCCGTAAATGACTAAGGTACAACACACAGGCATGAACGACGGAAATGGCTCCAGAACCACTTTAGTTGAAAAATTATGCCATAATAAATTTATTGAAATAAAGAAATACTTCCTATCAAGTGGTTTATTTGCCTCTCAAAGCAGCGGTATAAATATTGATGACATTTAGGGGATAAAACTATTCGGCTTTTAAAACTTTCGCCAGAAAATATGGGTATTGTGTGCAACATGTTTCAGTAACAAAATCTCTTATCTTCCGTTACAGGGAGGGGAATGAGCTTTCAAGAGGATCTGCTGTTCGCGACTGACGACTACAGATGCGCAGTGATTATGGTCACGACCACTGTTTGCGGTTGGTTTTTAATTTTCATAGCGCGCACAACCTGCTTGCAATACGTTCACATCACTTTTTGCAACACGTTCAACCCCACATTTTATGTTGAATATATTACATGTGTACAAACTATTTACCTATCTCAATTTTATTTTGCAAAAGCACAAATTTTTTTGGAGATTTTCATCCCTTCACACGTTCGCTTATAACATTAGGGCTGGAGTTAGTCTGAAGTGAGTTTGCAGATGACACAGAACAACGTAGGTTCCACAGAAGAAAACTTTTCGCAGCTAGTATTTCAAGTCTAAGGACTGCGACAACATTGCTGGTTCTGCGAGTTGGATCATCTCATTCATTCCACTATTACGAAAGGCTTCATCTGTACAAACAACACTTGACTGCAGAAAAAACCACCCCCAGTGTTTTCGCAGCAGTCAAGGCGCAAACTTGATATTACAAGTGAAGCCCTGTGCATGCTAATGTACATAGGCAACCACAGGGCCTCGTCTTTTGTTGCTTTTGAGACACAGTTTCTTAAAAATCAAAAACCTGGAAGGCTGCGTCCGCCAGTCCACGTTCCAGAAAAGCAGAAAGCGCAGCCAAGTGAGCTGTGGGCTGATTGCAAAGAAAGGGCTGGTCGCTTCGTCATACTGCCATTCGCCATCACAGGCGAGCATCGTACGAAACCGAGTACGAGACAGCCCTGACGACATCCGTTTATAGGCGTCTACACGCAAACAAATTGATTATACGCTTAAAGTAAAAGACAAAAATCTTAGTTAGCTATGCATCTTACTATCATTGGCGCAAAACTCATTTTACCAGAGCAAGTCATCACTGCGCTTTCAACGCGATAGCGTTACAGAGCTCCTTTCGCCGAAATTTCGGCATAGGTGTCGGCCTCAGCGTCATTGGTAGTGATAGACCTTGTGAGTCCCTCAAAAATTGAGAAATATGAGAATAAAATAAAAGTTTTCTGCGTTTGATCGTGGATCAAACATGGTTCATTTGCATGGAAACCAAGTGTTCTCCGACACAGCCACGCATGCACTTGTAAATGTAGTGAAAGTAACTTCATCTGCTTGAAAATGGAGTGAAAGTAACTTTCATGCTTTACAAACACACGCGTCTGCTAGACATGGTTCTCAATACAACATGAAACATTGCAGTAATAATACGGGGTATAAGAGTACATTGCCAACGGGTGTTGGAACATGTGATTGTCTGAATGATTTCGAAGTTAAAAGCCAGTCACCCACTACACAAGCCACACTTTCAGGTCTTAGTTCCTAATCAGGGTATTCTGTTACTATGGATCTTCGAATGTTCTTTTGACTGTTGTCTTCCATTTGTGTATTCTGCAAAACTGTATACGTGCGTGTCAGTCTGTGTGGGTTACGACTGAACGCCAAACAAATATGAAAAGGGTGATCAAAAACATTTTGTGATTTGCTAATAAGACGTACGCGTTCACAATAACTAATTAAAACCTGTACACTAACACGTAAAAATTTATGAGCAAGACACTTTGTTGTAACTTCTAATTCAGTATATGGGAGGTCCCACCCAGTGTGTGTGATCTTTTAGCAAGTGTGCTAATTGTGCCTGCACTGCGAACACCGCATGACATTGTACGCACCTTGGTCAAAGACTTTGTTGAGCTCAGCAGCCTACGCTACCGTGTTTTTATAAAAAAATGGTAGCAAAAGACTGACAGCAGAATGACATTATCGCAATGTCTCAATCGTCTGTGTGTAGATCATTCGAGCAATTCACTAATGCACACGTCGAACAACTCGTACTCAATGTTTTAGATTTCCTGCTTCATACAACAGCTATGGACGTCGGCAAAAGAAACCGTTGTTTTTCAACCCTTCCCGTTCGTGGAAATTTGCAACGGAACAGTACTTTAGATTGAGCCGTTTTGTCATATCGTGGTGAGCTGTCACGTTTGCTTTCGTTTTGCCCATCGCCTTGGCCAGCGTCCCCACAAGCACAATCATAACTCGATGGCACGTCCGAATAGCAAAGAAAAATTCATAGCTCTCTGGTGGGGTGTTAAACGCGCAGGCGCAAGACTAAGTTACTTATGAAGGTCAGAGCAAACAGAAAAGAGACAGGAAAGTACACTGTGCTGGCACTGGCTGTCCTCTCACCTTCTGATTGCGCTTTCCTTCACTACTATATTCCAACTAGACAAACTGGCTATCTTGTTGCAATGTTAAGCTAAACTATTGTTTAACACTTACTAATTGTTCCTCGTTCCGCAACAAGCTTTGCACAGAAGCCAGATTTCACACTGTTCAGTTCTTTTCTTTTAGTTCAGATACGCGGCGCTAAGTGCAATGACCAAATATCAACATTCTGCTATAAATAAGCACGAAATTGGAATGTGAATTCACTTTGGTTATATATAGTGGGTAACACAATCAAATTACTCAAGGCAATAGACCAACAAAATTTCAAAAAGTGGTTGGTGGCAGAGGATGAGAAACAAACGTTTATTTAACAAAACAATATAGCGGCTCAGGTCACGCTTCTACCCTAGGTGGGAGGTCTCATTCCAGGAACCATCTGGCTTTCACTCCCTCCTAGTCCCTGGCTTCAAGACGCCGTTGTTGGCACGCGTCCTCTGAAGCGAGCTTGGCCTCCCACGTTTCAATACGGTGTTCGTTTGCTTAACCAGCGTCGCAGGCATTCGGTGAAGGCGATGTGTCTGTTGTGTGTATTGCATTCGGAGGCGAGGATAACGTGTGCTAAGGTTGGGTACGCCACAAAATAGGTGGAGATATTCATGCAATGTTAGATAAAGACTATGCAAGAGTGCACGCTGCATGTTGGTATCACTCGAAAGTCTCCCCAGCATGATGCTGTGCTTTTTGTTGACCATTATTTGTAGTGGTGGGATTTTGTTTTCTGTGTCTAGCCTGGTGGCATGTGTGTCACCACCCCGTTACAAAAGGGCATACTCATGGCATTCGTTGATTCATCCAACACCTGTGTTCTTTGTCCATACACCTTTTCACAAGAGAGAAGAATGCCGCCATCCAAGGCTGTGCGAGGTAATACAAAAGCTGACGTCACATTCTCTACAGTGTATTTTAATGGCGTATCACGTATTCAGTGCAGCCCAAACAAGATTTTGAACGGGCCCATAGAACTATTCGTGAAAGGTGTATTGGCCAAACTACCAGAAACACATTTGGAAGATTTCTCCGCCAGGTCTTTGCAAAACACAGTTTTGAGACTCCCAATGAGCATTGTGCACTGAAAGATAGGCAGATAAGATCTTCCGAATAACTATAAAAGTGCCTGTCGACACAAAAAAATCGCTGCGTCACGTGGAATGTTCGCTGCCGTAAAGCCCGCACCAACCACAACGCTATCCTGCAGAACGTTTACCCAAAGCGAACTAGCGCACACTACAAAATATTTAATCATGCATAAAGAGTTACCCAGAACTTTAGAATACAAATTTTATTCAAAAGTGCAAATATAAGTTATGACTGTTCACTGATTTGCGTTGGGATCTCTGCAGTGTGCCTCTGTTCTTGCAGAAAAACACAACAATAATATGTGGCATTTTATGTACCAAAGAACGATATTATTGTTACGGATGTTATTCAGACAAATTTTTATGCTTATTTGTGTTGTAACATCTAGGCAAGCCATTGATTTATATTAACGCTTTCTGTAATCTTTCAGCCTAATTTGTATACCGTCGACGAGAGTTCTTAAAGAAGAAATGGTGACATTGATAATGTCAATTCAGCACGCAAGGATTGCGACAATGATAGAACAATCAATATACCCTTAGGTTGTTCATTATTGAACTTTAGCTTATCTTTATACTAGGCTTAAGGTCAGAACACTACTATTATTGGTAACACGTTATTGTGCTTGACACTCGCGACGCGCTAAATTGCACTAAAAAAAGACACATGGAAGGCAAAGGTAGGACACATACGAGCGCAAACTAACAACACTTTACTCGATGGAAACATGACAATTCTGTATAGGGTGAAAGGACATGCGATAATAGAAGATACGAAAGAAAGAAAAATTATTGAAGCTTTTATGATGCGCATGCTTGGCGAAGACCGGTGTGTATGCACCATCTATACATTTGTCTGACGACAAATTTTCTTCTTACATGGAAAATTGAGATAGCTGACAATGCACAATTTGATGACAACACGCAGACGCTTTCTCCCTTGACGTGGGCAGAGCGCTGGTTCATGCTTTCTTTGTTTTCCCTTTCACCCTACCTATACTGGCGTTTTTATCGAATAAACAGTTGTTCACACTCATGTGTGTCCTACCTGTGCCTCATGTATGTCTTTGAGTGTGTGTGTGTGGGGGGGGGTGTCTGTGTGTGTGTGTGTGCGTGTGTGTGTCAGTGTTTGTGTGTCTGTGTGTGTGCGTGTGCGTGTGTGTGTGTGCGCGCGCGCGAGTGTGTGTGTGTGTGTGTGTGTGTGTGTGTGTGTGTTTGTGTGTGTGTGTGCAATTCAGCGCATCGCGAGTGTCAACCATGTACAACCAACTAGCCCCTACGCTGGCCTTTCCCACTATTCTTGTGCTATTTAATTTCCAAATATATTTCCTGTACAAGCATTATCCTGAAAGTTCAAGGCAGTAAAGTTTACACAACAGAAGCAGGTGTTCTTACTAAAGCATTACCTACTTTTTTTCTCTTTCACAGGTAGGCATCATACGTATGACCTACGAATCAGGGGCGCTTATGTTATACTTCGACCTCCGGCAACGTGCCTCGAAGAATACCTGAAGTACGAAAAGCATGGAAAAGTAATATATGAGCCAAACTGCCCAAGCATACTTAAGAGACAGCAGAAGACGGCGTTGTATGAACCACAAAGAGATCGCTGCGGAAATCGCAATAACTGATGCAGGTATCATTGGGGATCATCACAAACTTTTATGGAGGTAGTCACAACTGCGAGCGTGAAAATACGCACGTTAGCAGGCAATCACATTTATATATCCTGGTAAAAATAAACAGTTGTATTAGTTGTTTCATGCGCGGCGTCAATGTCAAGTTAGAGCTGCAAATAAGATCATATTTCAATATGATACATACGAGCAATTTTGAGCAGTTGAATAATTACAACTGATTTTCAAGTTATTGTGTGGCTGTATATTATTTGTGCCCCTTTTAGGACACTGACGCGTGTCAGGATTATCATGTTTGCACTAGTCATATATTTCGTCATCCATTGATGTCACGTAACACCAAATTTTGTATATGTGGAGCCAGCAAAATTTTCGCGAGCGCATCATGAAGGGCCCATTATACTCCACTCTAGCATTGACGCGCGCGGGCGCTGGCCGCAGCGACGCAACGTTAGCAAAACGCCAGCCCTCTATAGTCTGACGCCAGGAGCAACCAGCGTCCGTCGGCATGGCCCGATAGCAACTGGCGCGAAATGCAAAATGCTGCATTTCACACCGATGCGCTCCCTCTTTTCGTGACGGAGGGACGCCGGACGCGCTGAAACGCGCATGCGTCAAAGCAACGCCGACGCAGCGCGGCGCGCACCTGCGCGTATATGGCAGGACCGGCGCCAGGCGTGGCAACGCTAGCGTGACGCGACGACTTGAACGCCGGCGAGCACGCGCACCGCGTCTCGTCGAAATGTATTGGCACCTTCACGGTGGCAAGTAGTCATGTTCTCACATGACACGCATCTCACGATTATCGTGTTTGCACCAGTCACATACCTTCGTCATCGATTGGTGTCACCTAATACCAAATTTGGCATTTGTGAAGCTAGTGAAACGGCCATGAGCGCATTGTCAGTGTGGCATGTAGTCATGTTGTTACATGACACGCATGTCGTGATTATCATGTTTGAATGAGTCATTTACCTATGTCGTCCATTTCCGTCACGTAATACCAATTTTAGTGCATGTGAAGCTAGCGAAACAGCCGCGAGCGCATCATGAGCGTAGCATGTAGCCTTGTTGTTATATGACACGGCTATCATGTTTACCATGTTTGCACCAGTATCATACCTTCTTCATCTATTCACGTCCCGCAGTAGCAAATTTGGTATAAATGAAGCTAGAGAAATGGCCGACAGCGCATCTTGAGCGTGGCATGTAGTCATGTTAAATGACACGAATCTCATGATTATCATGTTTGTACCAGTCACATACCTTGGTCATCCATTAGCGTACTGTATACCGAATTTGGTATATGCGATGGTAGCGAAATAGCCGTGAGCGCATCATGAGCGTGGCATGTAGTCATGTTGTTACATGACACGCATGTCATGATTTTGATATTAGGGTTTGTCACTTGTGTTCGACTTGCAATCATGCCGTACCATACCACTTTTGCAACATGTCATGTGACTAAACCACCTCAAGAGCAGCAGGACCTTGAAATGTAAATCATGATACTGATGATACACATGTCATGATTTTCATGTTTTGACTAGTCAAATATGTTTATCATACAAACATGTTATGCTATACCAATTTTGGTATTGATATCACTATCCAAATAGACAGGAGGGCTAAAAGTCGTAGGTGGCCTGATAGATAGATAGATAGATAGATAGATAGATAGATAGATAGATAGATAGATAGATAGATAGATAGATAGATAGATAGATAGATAGATAGATAGATAGATAGATAGATAGATAGATAGATAGATAGATAGATAGATAGATAGATAGATAGATACGTTCAAAGTCGCCGCAGATCGCTAAGGAATGCTCTCTATTTAAAACAAGCTGCTTTAAATGGTTCGAGCATTGGACGACCCACTCGTTACGCTATTCGCATTGTGCCATGCTGCTTCTTTTTTCGCTGTTTTAAAACGCTTTATAAGTCATAATACCAGGATTCCTTTGCCGAAATCAAGCCCGCCAAATGCAAGCTTGCCAACTACTTCAAAGCACCGGCGTGGCTTACAGTTAGAATACTGCGCTGGTACCCACCGGAGCCGGGTTCAAGCTCCACTGTGTGATTGCTTGGTACTAAATTTGTTTTTCTAATTTCGCGCGATGTCGTTACGGACACCGGCGGTGGCGGAAGGCAGCTACGGCACTGCGCGAGACCCAAAATGTGCTCCCATAACAACTTTAGCTGCAAAAGCCATGAAGACGGCACCGTGGAGTGCAAGAAATGTACCTGATGAGCTATCCTGGTTTCACGGCTAACTGTCCGATGCATTTCACAGAACGTTGGACAAAAGCAGTGCACAGGTGACCGCTTATACGGGCAGTCTGCACGAACAGCTCACTGCCAGACTACGGAATATTAATACTCCTTCAGGTGTCAAAGGGGTTTAACGATGGGTGCCGACAGATTTGTATGGCTCAGAGCACCAGAGTAGTGTAGTCGGGTAAGGCTTGTTGTTGGCCGTATTCGTTATTTCAAAGGGTTACGGTAGAATAACCTTGAAAAACTAAGACTCGCAAAAAAAGGTAAAGCGATCAGAACGGTCGGGCGCCTAAGTTATTATGCTTATTTGAAATAATGTGTCCCCAGATTCCAACTATCTGCGTATGCGAGCATCAATGTTGGCAAGCACACGTTGCACTCACCCATCAAACAGCTGCATCTGATTTTCGATATGTGACATAACTGATACAACGTGGCCTGCAATAACTGTCTCGCTAACGAGTTGTTGCTCTTGCATATTATGGTAATCTCAGAAAGCCGCAGCTCACATCTGCAGACTATAGAGAATGCGCAGGATAGTGTGCATTAAGGTTACCTCATAAGGTTAATTCATTCTCCCGAGCTCGGTCGTTCAAACGAAACACACTCTTCGCGCATTTCACATGAGGTCTGGTGCGCTTCTTCTGAAGTCCGAGCTTTTTGTTATACGACTGATCTGCGGACCCAGCCCAGTCAACTTGTGTGGTGCCAAGAAGACTACGTGCACACCGTGTCTATTGGCAAACTTGTTGAAGTTGTGTTAATGGTAGTCGATGCGCTGAAACACTGCGACCTTGCCTTCTTTTTAGAAGGGGCTAGACGTGTTGCTTTCAACGCGCTTTCATCAGCTATCAAGTAATCTTTCAAATAAATATTGAAGTTTAACACCCAACAGTTCTGCTTCTTTCTAATTCTTTTCTCGAAAATTTATTTTCCAAGTTGCCTACTATGTACCCTTTTAGCACACTAGCAGCATCAGCTACCTTTCGGGGAACGTTGATGATGAAAAAAAGTAGGGTGGAGCTTGCCGAATCAATCTAAGCACACAAGCGGCACCAAACGAAAAAGGCCGACCTTTTTAAAAGAATATGTCTAATTGTTGTCGCCACAACTTGTCACACTGGTATATCAGCTTAAGTCTCCAGCATTTAGGTTCTAACCTGACGTCATGGTAATATCAATATCAGTCAGTGGGCAACTTAACAATCCATTGTCATGTTAAAAAAAAAGAAACTTTCAGCATTAGCTTATCCTCGTACTTGCTGAGAGTAGTATATGTATACAGAATACTTGTATGACCAAATAAAGCCACTTCGATCTGTATGCCAGAAAATCACTGTAACGCTTCTATATTGTGTGTGCTACAGATATGTTGAAAATTTATCTATACGGACTACTGTGACCTCCTAAAACTTATCAAGAGAACGCACGGGCAGTGAACACATATTAACGGCCGCACATTACAGTTTCTCTTGTTACCTTTTGTATCGACTGCTTCAGGAAGTGACGCAGCGTGTGAAGGTTCGTGATGATAGTAAATTTAAACTCAGTAGACACGGCTGACCTCGGCCATGGCAGCTGTGCTTTAAATAACTGCCGATATAGTTCGTCCCCCGTAGTGGGTGAAGTTGTTTGTACAAAAAGCCAGTTGCTGACGCCAGAGCCTGAGTAACAGTAAACTGGTCTCAATTCATAAATATAATAACAATATGAAAAAAAAACCCATAAACAAAATAATAAGAATGTGGGGTCAAGTGCCCGCCACATTTTGTGAGCTTCATTTTTGAAACCTGGTCACTGGTTGAAAGTAATGGTAATATTGCTGCTAATAAGCAGTGTATTTGGACATATTTGTTGCATAACAGATTGAGTTCTGTTGACATGAACAGAAAAGTTGCGGCGCACAACGCGAGACCTAATCTTCCGACCGGGGAGCCAAACCATGAGCTGCACGGCTTTTGATCTTGGCAAGGAGAAGAACATGCCGCCATGCGACAAACGCCACCTGGTGTTTTGACGTCAGCGTGTTTGATATACTGACCACTTCGGCAAGGACAACCCCATCTAGCAGCCTAGGAATGAAGTACTGCACAGCTTCACAGCGTGTACGTTTCCGTACGTAGCAATCACGTATGCCATGAATAAGTTTTGCAGGCCCAATGGTGAAGCAGCAATAATTTATTGCGCTCGAGACGCGTGGCACAAACTCCGTCTTTCCTATTTAATATCTTGAGCTTGTTACAACGTACCGGGCTGCCAGACGCAGCAAAGTCGGACAATTGTTCTCGGCGGAAATTTGATGTCGTACTTTAATACGGGTAGAGCCACCCGTAAGCGTTTCGTTGGAGCTAAGTAGCATTATACAGGAAGCAAATTATGTATGAGCACTATCCAGAATCTGGAGTGTTTCGCACCGAAACACGTTCTTTATAGTTGTTCTCAACGATCGTTATAAAACCTCGAACAACAACCATTTCGCAGCTGTTCAGCTGCACACATTCATTGTGCGGAAAGCGAGAAGGCCAATGGGCGTCTTTATTGAAACACTATTTGACCTCTTTGCTCCGGGTGGTCTCCTCGTTCAAGGAAACTATAAGCTTTTCTGTGTTAGCATTCATCTTGCGGAAAGAAAATAGTAGTGATATTATTGTCAAGCTCTTTCAGTACTTCAAGACAGGGGAAAACATTTGTTCCCGATATATATACACATGCGTAAGCGCCATTGTTACAACGGTTATAAAACATACAGAAGTATGCAATTGACGCATCTTTTGAAATCGGCATGATGGCCATACAAAAACTCTTCAAAGCATTTGTCTTGGCTGCCCTTATGACGTGCCTAAAATGCCAGAAAAAGATCCCCGGTTCAACAGAAAATACAGATATCACCAGGGTAAGCTATATTTTCTTTTCTTTCATTTACAGCCATGTTGGCATAAAGCCGAAAAGAAGTGTTGTGGAACGTGCATGTGCGTACCCAGGGTTTTCTGGTGGATGGAAGGGACCTTACCTCTAACAAGGTACGATTGAGCATTACGATGAAACGAGCGGTGCATGGTTAGTTATAAAATGAAAAAAAAAAATCACATACTTTTGCGTTAGCACTTTTTTATGCTACAGCCAGAACTAAACTGCCGAATTTTTATTGTTTTGTGTTTAGAAAGCGGCGTCTCGTCTCAGACTTAGTCTTTCAACTCAATGCAAAGCCCAGAGTTTTGTGTGTGTGTTTATATTTCATATTGGAAACATAAAAGAAAGTGTATTGCCGCTGTTCGCCGTGGCACACTTAGCATCGTTATTTAAATGACATTCTACGTATTAGGCATAGTAACTCCAGAAAGCAGCACACTTTTTATAGATTCGTCACCATGCCCCTATTTACCAACTGTGCGTCGTTTACCTTTTGGGGCCTTCGTAATCTCAAACAAAGATGAATACATATGCTATTATAGTACCCATAATAAGGTCATAATAAGTGCGATAAATACCTATCGTCTCCGCGTGCAGTATGCTGTAGTAAGGAGGGTGTCTGTGCTACAGGAAAATATTGTCAGCGCACACTAAGGCAGCTGAGCAAGCGAGACGGAGCGTGGTATAACAGTCCCAGGAGCACAGCTTAAACGTCTTCTTCTGTAGTCAGCATCGTTAACCAGACCCCTTCAAATAACTTCTCTTAGCCCTGGCAGTATTTTTTAGACTGTTACTGCGCCTTGCGAAGGTGGCAAATCAAGCAGCCAATAATATTCAGCGCATGAAGAAGATCTATAAAAACAATGGTACCTGTATTCATCATAACAGGTCTGTACACTTACACCTTAGCAGCTAAATCGAAATATAATCAGACGGCTGTTGTATACGGTAAACCCACAATCAGTACATGAAGTGGCCGCTGTAGGCTAGTACAATAAGCCGTAACGGAATATTTCAGTGTCCACACACACAAAAAAGCGTGAAGACCTAAAGAAATACACAACGGAAACATGCGGTGAGCTCGTATCACAATTTTTTGTTTGTTTTTTGACCGTTCAGCTTTTTTTTCTTTACGTCAAAATAAATAGAGCAGTCCTCATTCAGACAAAAAAAAGAGCTTTATTTTTGTTCCTGAGAAGACGAGTGCCTCTGTCAAACAGTACCGTCTGCGGGCCCCACCCATGAACGCGCCGGGAGGTTTGGGCTCTCGGTGACTTGGTGGGCTCTCTGGACAGCCCTAAGCTGCTGGTCTTTTGCGAAGCTGGTGATGAGCCGGAGCCGGTCTTCCTTCTCAAAGAGATACCCCAAACCTCTAACGACTTGCATGGGAACTCAGGTGGTCAAAACGTGGACAGCGTGGATCTGTTCTTCCTATGAATTTTGATAATATAAACGGAGAAGGATACGTGTTCGTCTGTAACATTCGCAGGGTGATTGCCGGCGGCGTGTTTAGGTGTGGGTGTGGAAGTGGAAACTGCCGACGCCCCAGTAGATGGTACATACAGGCATCGTTGAAGGTGAAAATAGGGTTCTTTTGCCACTTCCCTCCCTCAGCCTCCGAGTTCCCACTTCCGGCGTGGTGGGTGAGACGTCACGCCTGGGAGTTCGCAAGTTCATTGGCGTTAGGGATGGTTTCATAAGCATCAATGCCTATGTGACAGGGAAATGAAATAGATGTTTTTTTTTGCCTCTCGAAAATTCAGCAGAGAGGACGCGAACACATTTTTTGCACAACACCAAGCATTTTATGGATGCTCTAGTGGCGGCTCGCGAGTACGTGAAAATAGTAGGATGGTTAGTAGTGGTCATGGCGATTGCCACCGCCACCTGTGCGGCCTTGTAGGCATCCTCGTTTTTAAGCGTAATTGATATCAATAGCTCCCTCCGTGGTGACGTAGCTGCTGGCAACGTTATCCTCAATCGTAGCCACTGTGCTAACGAGGGCTCTGGTCCTCATTTTGATTTGATTTGATTGATTCATGGGGTAACGTCCCAAAACTACCATAGGATTATAAGAGACGCCATAGTGGAGGGCACCGGAAATTTCGACCACCTGGGGTTTTTTAACGTGCACCCAAATCTCAGCACACGGGCCTACAACATTTCCGCCTCCATTGGAAATGCAGCCGCCGCAGCCGACATTTGATCCCCCAACCTGCGGGTCAGCAGCCGAGTACCTTAGCCACTAGACCACTGCGGCGGGGGTCCTCGTTTTGCGTCTGCTGTAGTTGTACCAGGGGAGGGGAGTGTATTTGTCTAGGTATCTGGGATGCAGAATGTATTTTCCTGACTGATGGGGAGCGCGCACACCCTCTGTCTTTTGAGGGTATAACGTATGTCAATATGGGCTAGTAAACTACATATCTCCCAGCTTCCATGGAAACCAGTCCTGCCGCTTGTGACACCTGTTGGGCGCCTGATATTTCTACAAAAGTGTTGTTGACGCCCAGTGCTAATAAACTTTCTGTACTGGTGCATGTAGTAGACCGAACACCTGTTTGATAATCTTGCGAATTATTTATTCTTATCTGCCTCGGTCCCTTGTGCTCCACCTGTAGGTCAGAGAGATGTAGTTGTTGAGGCTTATTAAATAAGCGTGCAAAAGTTGAAGTCTTTCCTCAGATAACCACCCTGGTTTGTTGGCCACCCTTGCGATTAATTTCGTCATGAAATCAGCTTTGGGTGCGATGCGTTCAAAAGTGTAGGCTTAACTACCATACTCCTCCTGGAACATACCGAGGATTCGAACTCTTCGTACGGTGCGAATAAAGGAGCCGTTCACTGTGGTTATTGGGATATCTGGAAAACTTCCTTTCTCTGCACCAATTGTTGGCTGGTAAATGAGCAGTTTTAAGTTTTTGGCGAATGAGCAGAGTCCTGCTTTGTGAGAAAAATTTTTAACAACCGTGATTGCTGTTTGTATTTGCTCAAAACATGTAGTGTCTCCGCATCCTCAGGGCTCATACAATGCCCTGCTTGACCATTTAGTTCTCCACCCGGATTGTACTCGGCTGGGATGAAGCAGAAAGCAGTCGAAATCATGGTTTCGCTGGATTCTACTTAGCCTACATTGCCAAAATTACAGTCACGTAGATCAGCGATGGTCGATACCCACAAGACTAACATGGACGCAGCGGACAGAGTTTGGCCTCCGTTGCCGAATTCACAACGCACGTCCGCATTGCTAAAAAACAAACCCATCCTAATATTTCTTCAATCACTGCTCGATGCACTTCCCACTTGAAGTCTTCGTCGGCAGGCTGAAGTCACCACACACTGAGGCCAAACAGCAGGTGTGGGTCGTCCTACGTCCAGTGCCTGCAGGCCTTTAGTAGGGACCATGAACCGACGGCCTACTGTGGAAGAGGACACGCCCTAAGTCCTGTGTCCACTACTATTGACGCGCAGAAGTCTAGTGTAATCTCACCTTTTTATGTTCTCTTTTTTCTATCTCTCTTTTATCATCTATCTCTTTTCATCCCTAAATTTTCTTCCCCTGGTGTAAGATAGCAAAGCGGATTCTCGCCTGGTTGACTCTCTCACCTTTCCTTTCTCAAGCTCCTCTTCGATCTGCCCGTCTCTCTACACGTTTTTTTCTCTGCAGAAGCGAACTCATTTCGACAATCAATGAAGGCAGAGAGTAATGCTGTCAGGAAAGGATGCTATTCTTGTGGACTCCTGAGGTGAAGAACTTGCATGCATACAAGGAGACAACTAAGTCTATGAGAATCAACTGTAGCATTCTTAAAAATTTCAAGCCATCCTATATTCAGATCAGGCTGCTTTAGAGCCTCGTGCTGCAACACACGCGAAGGACTGCAAAAATGAAGGCTTTCTGAGACGAATGGAAGTCATATTCGGATGGGTAGAAACCTAGTTGCGTATAATCAGAGAACCTATGATGAGTTCTCACAACAGATATTTATTATGCGTTTGTCTTCAGTGAACGATACACTAATTGCAAATGAATCACAATATCTTTTCTTCCAGTTTTATGACAAAAATGGAATCATATGGACACTGGAGACGACGGAGCCTACTACCATAAGATGCAAGTTTGATGTAGTGAATAAATCAACGCATCATGGTGTCCGTCTTATGAGACAATATTACTGGATTGGGAGCAGGTATTACTTTAAAACTTTGTTTCTCTTGTGCCGAGTACTAATATGCTTTCAAAACAGGACGAACGTCTACCTAGATGGAACGTTCATGAGTAAACCGGTTCTAAAGAACACGTACAACGCAATGAGGATCACCGAGAAAGGTATTGTGCTAAGCAGAATTTTAGATAGAAACAATTTAGTCAGCATATCCTACTATCTGATGACAAATAAAATATTTTGCCTAATAACTATGAGGGTGATCATATTATGGTAGGAGACTGAACAGCTGCGAAAATGAGCTCTAATAGGTAACCATGCACTACGAAAGGAGAACACGTTGTGCTGGTGTTACACTTTCGACACCGACCTCTTTGCCCAACTCACCTGTATCCCCGACCCAAAATATGACTTACTCTAAAAATAGCACACTTTTCACTGTTGTGCAATGATGAAAGTGCCACGGCTGCTTAAGATATGTCTGTAGTCTTAGAACACAATGATACTACGTTGTACAATTCTTTACACAAGACTAATCAAATAGAAATAGTCTTAAATCACTGCGTTTATATATTTGCAAGAAAATGCACTGTTTTCAAGAATGGTAGCATCAAACAAAATAATCAACATGTTCCTCAGGTATACAGCACCTTTCTTCCTTTAGAAAGAACCTTATTTGGTGGCATCCAACTTAAGCACTGCTATACACCTTAATACCCGCCGTACTGGTGCCGACGCCGCATTGGTGCCGGAAATGTAGACAATCTCGCGTGTTTGACGTGCATCTAAACGTGGTAGATATTAATGCGGGGTGAAAACTGTGGGCTGACAGCGATATTCATTTACACAAAAGCCGACGAACCACAGTACTCCCAGTCGACTCGGTACAGATCTTGGGCATAACTGTCAAGTTCACTGTGTCTAACGGAATGACCATAAGGAAGCTCCCAACGAAGACAGACAATGCATTACGTCTCCCCCGAAGCGTTGCCAATCGCCACCCCAGCTGCAACGAAAGACAATCCCATCCACCTTGTGAATGCATTTGTCTTATGCGACTTCCTTTACGTTGCGGCACTGCACAAGACAGGTGGCAGAAAGGGACAACCTAAACACGCTGCTCCAGGAGATCTCTGAGCATTCCATCAGTATAACGATTTTACCAAGACCAACCGCCTCCTTCAACTTGGCGTCCACAGCACCCTTGAAGATATTGCGGAGACCCAAGAAAGAACGCTACACGTGAAACTTTTCACAATGAGAGTTGGCAGACATATTTTAAAGGTGTTTAGCCCCACAACTACCGTCAAGGGGGCTCGTAAGTGTCAGCTAACCACGCAGATACGCGACCTCGTTAACATGGCTTCGTCGAGTATGGTTGTGGCAAGCGCCACAACTATACTCAGGCAAATGTATTATGAAAAGCACGAGGCCAGTTTCGCTAATACGGTGGCCTACCATGGGCGACCTACCTTTTCTGTGTCTGTTGCAGATAAGAGGAGGCAGCTCCAAAATTTCGCGCCTATACGAACTGGGCACCCAGTCATAACAGAGCAGATGCATTGCATTCACACTTAATGATATCAACAATTAGATACAACGACTCTGGATTGATGCAAAGTACATACGAGTGTGGAGTAATCTGTGAACAGCCCCAGAGCCCACCGCAGAGTCGCACCGGACAGGTTGATAAACTGTTCTCTAACATGGTTCCCCACACATCACATCCGCGCGCCCTCACCGTCTGTGCGAACACCGGGCTCAACCTTGACTAGACTTCGGGCGGAAGGGACGTTCCCGCTACCAATAAAATGACGAAGAACTATTATCTAAGTACTCTCCTCCTCACACGCAATTCAAATTTACTTCAGGCGCTTAGGTTTAAATTGCTCCAGGTGGAGACGTACCTGAATCTTTGTACACTAAATGAAAAATACCAGGAGAACTATCTGAATGACGCGTCACCCGCATGTAAGGAGAAGCCCACATTAGCACGCATGCTCTGCAGGCACCCCGAATCAAGCCCAGTGTCCTCCTCCATGGTCAAGTGTGAGGCGGCGATCCACAGCCCGCTCCTGGCCGACCAGCTTTGGGCTGTCGAGCAGGCCCACGAAGCGACCGAAAGGCTTGGCCTAGCGGTTCTGACGTGGAAGTTGCCACTGCGCGCTAAAGGGCGTCCCGCAGGATCTCTATAACGTTCTTTTAATCAATTAATAAGTCAATAGGTCTATCTATCTATCTATCTATCTATCTATCTATCTATCTATCTATCTATCTATCTATCTATCTATCTATCTATCTATCTATCTATCTATCTATCTATCTTTCTTTCTTTCTTTCTTTCTATCTATCTATCTATTTAACTATCTATCTCTCTATCTATCTATCTATCTATCTATCTATCTATCTATCTAAATGCAGTAGACGGGCCACAAGAATCTCACATTGATCAAACAATGAGAGCGCCATAGAGATGTTCGACGAATTTTAGGTCATCTCGCGAGCATCGTGACCACTTTGCCACCGCCCCTACGCTTAGCCATCACTAAGATCTTGCGTCATTGCAATTCTGCGTACATATGTTTTGCGCGTATACGACTATCACGTCCCGCTTGTGAATTCATTTACTTTTGGCATCCGTGACTTATGACACTCGGGTGATGCGTTATTTACATACAGGCTGTAGGAAAACATATTTGAGGTGGTGTTTTTAAAATTTTGAAGATAAATCGATGAAGCGCCTGCTCAGTCATATTAAGAAAAATGCACCCAAAAATAATCTGAAAAGCAATTGGTAAAAAATCACTCACCTCTCTTCAAGCAATCTGAGGGTAATGATTCAGGCTAAAAATGGGCCAGCCATCCAATTAAGATCTTTTCTTGGTGGTGATTTATGCGCTCTTCGTAGGACATGAAAAACTCGCGATTCATGTAAAATATGTCCTAGCAGTTGGCGTTTGCCATAGCTATTTTGAAAGCGAGCCTTTTGCAGTTTTTGTGGAGCTCAATGACATAAACCAACAAGCCACATTCGTGAGTTAAGACTGCTACACGCTGCTGACTTGCAATGTGGTAGCTAGTTAAAATCTTACGTGTGTGCCCTATAGAATATGCAGATTTATTCATTTTTATTTTCTTCATTCTCGCGCGTGACATATATGTTGTTGTTGTTTCCCTGTGCAAATAGCTCGTACCCAAAGGAGGGGATTGGCCGATTATAAGGTGAATTCGCCCTATACTTTCAGCATTGCGTCTTTCTTACAAAACTTCTGTAACTTAATTTTAATTTGAAATGCCGATATCAAGTTTGAAGAAAAAAAATGAAAAAAAATAGTGACACCGTAATTTAGCAAGAAGATAGTTTAGTCGCAGTGATGTATTCCTGAATGGCGAATAAAACATCCCTGTGGCTGAAACCCAGTGTAGAGGCTCCAAAAGAAAGAAGATGAGGTTGTGATAATTGCTAGCCCAGTCTTTGAAGAGATGGTGCTAGTATGTTTTGTCTGAATAAATCGAAACGGCGACAATGTATTAAAAAATGATGACTGATCGTTTCCTCTTGATTACAGTAAAGGCACATAGAGAAATTCAATATACCTGACCTATGCAAGTAAAAATTGAGGGAGGTAGCGCGGCAACGAAATTTTGTGATGACAACTTCCATCATCCTTGAATTAGACAGTTCACTGCGCCAGGAGAATAACAAGTGTTTGTACTCTGAAGAAGCCGTCTGTGCAGGGTCTGATAAATTTTGCCTGATTTCAAGTGTGCGAAATAGCGCCACCGTAATGTATACTGTATGAGGGAAAAAAGGAATAATTGGGGTCGAAAGCGATGCCTTCACAAGATATCTGGCCAGCGCAAGCTTCGTCTTCAGCGCTATTCTTCACACGACATAATAACGCAAGCTCTGTCGCTTTCTTCAGTTTATGTAAAGTATGCGACTTTCATTTACGCAGAAAAGAACTCAGCGAATATGTCTTTTGATATATCAATGAAAGTTAACGAACATATTCACAAGGGACCACAAAACTTCAGCGAGCAATTTTTTTCCGATTACAATAATACCAAATCGTCTCTGTCATTCTGGCAATTTTCGTAGTGCGCAGACTGCGCCCTAACATTTAAATAAAGCTCCAGTCCCGAGCGTAGAAGCCAAAAAAGCGATGCTTGGTGCCCACCCTACACCAAAATGCTTTGAAGTTTTTCTACTTCATGTTTGGCATTGCTTCTCAGCTGCTTTCAGCGTGGAATTATTTTGAAAAAAATGAAAGGAACGTTGCCTAGAGTGTTGAACCAGGGAGGAAAAGTATCTCAGTAACGCATATCAATTTATTCAACAGGAAGCGCACCTGATGGTAAGAGAAGCAAGTAAAAATAGCATCGGTACTTTAATCAGTCAAGCCCATCTTCACCACCGTCCATAAGTGACGTTCGGGTGACGACGACCTCCTCAGTTTAGACCTATATTAGTTGATAAAACTTGATGAGTGCCAACGTAAAACGTTATTCGTGACTGCACCAGTTCTTGGGGCTACTTTACAGGTCAGCGAGAATCTATGTTTTGATATTCGCACTTTCTAGCGTAACAGATCGATGCTCAACGAAAACAGTCCAATACTTGATTGATTGATATGTGGGGTTTAACGTCCCAAAACCACCATATGATTATGAGAGACGCCGTAGTGAAGGGCTCCGGAAATTTTGACCACCTGGGGTTCTTTACCGTGCACTCAAATCTGAGCACACGGGCCTACAACATTTCCGCCTGCATAGCGAAAACAGCCCAATATGCACTAAATCAGGACCCGAATCAGGGCTTGGAAAGGATGAATCAAGATTTAAACACCGCAATTCCGGAGTACAGCAACAAAACGCCTCTTTGTCGTCCTGCGAGTTGCCTCGCCATGTGACGGAGCAGTAGTTGCCTCGCCATGTGACGGAGTAGGCAACTGCTCCGAATAGCCATGTGACGGAGCTACTGGTATTTACCAGCGACAGTAGGGGGGAAATGATATCAGTGAGCATCAATATAATGTTACCGCTTCGAATTGTACAGTACCGAATCTATGTGACATGAAGCAAAACGAAATTGCCACTGTAGACCAGGGGGGGGGGGCGAATTTCCTAAGATTTCTATTTGGTACGTGTTTTTGACACTCACTGGTCACCAAGCTTCACAGACTATACACCTAGCATTACGTTTGGCTGAACACTGTTTTACTAGTAATATTAACGTAACATGATTGCTTCATACGGGGAGCAGCTCAACGTATTAGTTGATGCCCTGTAGAAAGGCAATATGTTCGATGCCTCGGCAGGCTCATGCTCCAGACCAACGGCTTAATGATATACCGAAGGTAAATACAAGATTTTTTTTCCTCCGATAAAGATCAATTTGGTTTCTTTTCGACAGCATAATAAACAATTTCTCGCGAACTAACGTAGGATTGTTTTTCTAAATATTGCTGGATATCAAAGTTTTTTTAAAAAATTTTGTATTGAAGCACCACATAAACGGTAATGTTTCAAGATACAAAGATCAGCTTTGTTGGCAGTAGAAAGAATTCATTTTACGGTGAAACCTTGATGTACGGTACTACGCCGTATGTCTCTCAGTGTATTTGTCCTGGTATTTTGAACCCTAAAGTACATATTATCATGAAATTGATAAATATATAGGTAAACCATATATTAAATAAACATTGATAGGCAAAACATAGGAATTATTGGCCGCAAAAAGTTTGTGATTTTCCCCATGTGCCTTGCTCTAGAAAGAGAAAAAGTTTTTGAACCATAAAGAAATGTCTTGTTCTAAATTTTTCTATCATAATAAGGATTGAATATTTGCTAGTTACTAAGTCGTGTGCGCTGATTGACGTGCACTAGTGGGCTTTGTCATAATTCTTTGTTACCTAATGCTATGGGCACGGCGATACCAGCTCCAGTTTGCGCTCGCTTTTCTAACAACTGATTGGTCATGCTGTTGTTCAGTAGTTAGTCAGTGCCTGGATAGTTGAAAATTATAATGTGTTTACATATTAGCTGCCACCACTATACAGCTACGCAAAATTCAGTCATATGAAACTGAGCTTCAAAATTAAGCCAAACTGTTAGAACGCTTATATTGATAGCAAATACCAGGAGTATTCATGCTATTTTGTTTTTTTTCTACCCTTTATTTCTTACTATCAGGTGTAAAAGGGTAGCCATCGCCAAGTAACGGTGACAACGGCTCCTTCGTTTATTACCTACTTCAATCAAATTAAGTAATAATGAATCTATAATAACTCCATTGTCGTGGTTCGACTTTCACTTTTCTGTTGCAGAGTCAGTTTTCAAATCGATCGAGCAGCTACTGTTCGCGTACCAAGACTATGCGTGTGGAATCTTCAAAGTAACCTTGCTCCACCCTGATCAAAGTACGTACAATATAAATAATATTTCAATGATTAGTATAATGGTACAGTTACCGTAATTGACCCCTCAGAAAGAAATATGAGGACAGAAGGGTGATAAATCTATCGGAATCTAACGCAGTGCTCTTATGCTTTCATTGAAGTAAATATTTTTCTCGTTCATGCAGTAGTGGGGCCTAATTCAAACACGGTCCTTCAAACAACTTTTCGTTCTCTCTCTGTGTATCCTAGATAGTCACGTAAGCATGTTTTCCAGACTCCACGCTCGCAGCAAGTAACCTACCAGGTGATGTTTCAATTAAATTGTTTGCAGAGAGTATACATGCGAGTACATATCACCGAACAGTCATTCAATACACGAAACATACTGAGTCCTTAATTAAGGTGTGCATTGTAGCAGATGGCTTATAGGGCTTATACATGCTGTACAGGTACCGTGTTTATGTCCCTCGTGAAATAACATGAAAAATCACACTTATGGGTAGAATTATCTTTCATACGTAGGTACCACTGTTGCTGCAAGAGTGGGGTCGGACAGTTTCGCATTTAACACCCACGTTTTGTCACGAAAAAAATTGGCGCTGGCGAAAGTACAATCCAGATTTCTGAGTGCTAAAGCCACTTGACTTTTGTGCTGCCCATGCGTTTATTTTCTGTATTTTGTGTGCTTATTTTGTATATCAAATGAATGTAAGCCTATCTTCACCCTGTGATTCGTCGTACCAGCGCATTCATGATATACTCAGTCACGGTGGCATAAATGATAGGTGTACCGACTGAGTCAGTGCTCGTGACCTATTCCCTAATGCGATGTGCTTTAATTTGAGTAAGAAGTGATACAGCCAACGCGGCTTTACTGTCCGCCCTAGTTGACGCAAGGTATATTCTATAATGATGTCGTGCATGCCCGCGTTCCCGTCTACAGGTTCCTTCAGCAATCTACAAAAATAAGTCAAACTAGACTCACGACAACCGCTCTGAGTTTCTCGATTCACAGGGTTGACAGAACCACCAATATGACAGAAACAGTGTAGTTGAAGCATTCTGCTGAAACATGTCAAATTATTTACCATAAGCTATTTATTTCACATTCCGGGACACCAGCAAAATATGCGAATTGTTTTATAGCTGAGTTCTTAAACTTGTGATAATATTCAACAGACGTTTGCTCCGTCAACACATTTATTTTATTGATGAACAGGTCAATTCTGTATCTTATTTTCATAGGAGCAGTGTAGAAGCGGCAATCAGTGTTATCCTGCCACTACGTTTGTCATGCGAGTATGGCAACATCCCTTGTTTAGGTAGCCCTGAGCACGCTTTCCATCACTCAATCACTTCGTGTGTAGCACCACCACCGCATGCAATAGATTATTGTTGTCTCACACGTAAAACAGCCGGTAATAATAGTTCCTCCATCGTGATGTCGCAAACGAGTTTGCGAGCAGCATGCAGACAGTGGTTAGAAGCATTTAAACTTCAACAAACGCCGCCATATTTTAGTTTTATAACACTGCGCGCGCATTGCGACAACTAAAATGGAAGCTGCTGAGAGCCGCATCCTTATATAGACACAGCCGTGGTCACTGTCTTATGAAGGTAACGACGCGGGCAGCGCTGCGTCGTCTATGTTTCCTTGTAAGGCTGCTTTCACTCCTCTACGTTGAACATTCATGACGCTTCGCACTTTGTGCGATGATCTTATTTATGGTGCAAATGACACCTGAAAACGGTTTACCATGGTGTCCAAACGCAATTTCGTTCGAACATTTCAAGTACTTCATCCATGCCATCCGGCGGACGGAAAATGGATATATGCGCTTCGTTCTGCGCACTGCGGAGGCCCGATGGCTAACGACAGGTTTTGTAAACCTTTCTAGGAGCACAATCACCAGATGGAGGACACTGAGTACCTAACAACGCCGCACGAAGCACGGATACTTTTCTCCACGGCTCGGTACGAGACCCACGGAGGTGCACATGGCGCCACCGCTCATGACTAGACCAGCTACACTGCACAACACGTAACCATAGCAAAGCCGCCATTGTGCCTACTGAGGCTGCCATGACGCCATTTTTCGACACTTATCACGTAGCGCACCGGATAGGACATGCCCGCTCCCCTCGGCCCTTCCTCCGTGCTCTCACCCATTGCCTTCGCTTCAACTTGGCAGGTCACTTGCTTTTTCATCGAGCGGTAATGGAACTAGGTTAGCGACCCACGGTCAGACACTTCACGGTTAGAGCGCACATGCGTACAGAAAAGGTTATTGCTTTAGCGTGTCTGTACGATCATCGCCTAAGTAAAACTGCAGCTATAAATGTGCAGGACACAAAATAAAACTGTGCGTTGGAAATGCTTGGTAAACTTCAGGTTCACCATCCAGCGTTCTGTTATCTACGAAGTACACCTTGCGCATTCAGTTTCTTTTTTTTTCTATGTGCCGCCAGTGCTCCCAGTGCACGGGCAGGCACTATACAGCGTGGCCAGTCTCTTTTAGTGCGCTGTGAGACACTGGGCAACAGTGTACGGTTTTCTCAGTGTCTTTCAGATCACTATAGGTGGCTTTGGCCACGCTTTACTGTCTGTCGTCGTCTATTCCTAACACACTGTAGCACACTGGGACACATTGTATAGCGTTTTCAGCGAAACACACAGCGATGGGGGCACTGCAGGCGCTTCTTTTTTTTTTTCGTTAGAGAGATGCATATCGTGGCGTGCATTCACACCTAGTTAGGCGTATGCTAGGGGAATAAAGATAAAATTGACAATTTGGACCTCCCGTGGGGAGGGCAAGGCGACAAGATGATAGGAAAGCGTGAAGAATTGCGGAAACAGGGAGCAGCATGACAGGATGGTAGCTTGTAATTGCATGGGAGAACACCAAGGCGTTTGTCTGTTGGGCGGCAAGGCCTACAGGAGCCGCAAACTTGTGGAAGTCTTGCAGGGCAGGCATATTTGACAATGTCACGAAATGGCAAGTTCTCCACACTTATCCAACGCAGATTAGTACAGTGATTGGAATTCACAATCAAGTTTCGTTCTGGGGTCTGAACAGGACCGGAGTTATTTGTATGCAGTGAAGTTTCTTCGTTGCCACATGTTTCGCATCCAGGGGATGAGCAGCAACGCGTAGAATACGTGCGTGCCACAGGAGACGTGGTGTTAAGTGCCAGGATGAGTTGCTGTTGGACTGTTTGGAATGCGATCCAGCATAACGGTGACATAAGGTTGCCACATACCCTTTGGTAGCGCTATGATATAACTGCTAATATTCACAGAAGCTCTCACTCGAGATGTTTACATACATGTACGTTTTCATTGCAGTGGATTACCTTGAACTCCGGCTGAAAGAGTCTATTCTGTCTGAGCCAAAACGACGTTGCATTGAAAAGTTCGTGGAGCTTTCGAAAGGAGCGAAAATTACGCCGATATATAGCAGTGCTTGCCGAACAAAACGCAAGCTGTGAGAAACCGCCACAGATCTATAAGGTTGAGTACACCAAGTCAATGTCAATGCAGTCGTCTGCAACAATATTTTGCTACGTAGTTTTGATGTGTACGTTAATTTAGTGTGTACAGAAGTAAAGAAGTGTATTTTAAGTGTAAAAATGAAATGCTTGGCCCTCCTGACGATGATTCTCCACTCATATATTTCATTCTTAATGAATAAAGATTCCGCTTGATCTGTTTAGTGTTCCTTTTTTGTCGTGTCCTATTTCAGCACAGTTTTTCTTGCATAAAATGAGCCAACTATATACAGCCCCTCAACTCTCTGAGTGAAGCCCTGATAAATAATTAGGCACATGGCCATCGCCATGACAAAGGTGTTTTTGAGAAGCAAGTCATAGGCGAAAATGTCAGCATGCTTTTCTATACAGTAGTTCACCCACTTCCAGGATTGAATTACTACGTTAGTGCACGTCAATTTTGTTTCGATAGCAATGGTATGCACTTTACCATCGGTGCACTACTGTGCTTCATATGTATGGGTCAGAAGTTATAGCTGAGTCTCTAAGAGAACGTAATTTTACAGATTACCTTGTCTAACGAGGACATTTCCATTATTTGACAGCTACTATACACTCCGGTGTGCTGACGAAATTGTAATAAGGAAGCTTTCATGACGCTGAACACAATTCAACTAAGTTTTTTTTTTTACAAATGTATAGATAAAGCACGCAATATTTGAGAATTTCGATACAGGCACGTAAGGCTTGCCACCCTATTCAATACATTACCTTCATGCTAACGTGGCAGCAGGCACACCAATGTAGCTCCTTTACATACCATTAAGCTTAACTATTACGTTATTTTATGGCTTCCCCTGCCAGCTCGCACAACTACTGTGTTTATTCCATGTGTTTCTGCGTAACTATATCTTGGCACAACTTGGCATGACAGCCCATGCCGTTGGAATGGCACTGACATTGCAGGCTTTACTTTCCGGCTTCGTGATAGGTTCCATGGTCAAGCCGCTCTCGTAAATTTTTCGCTCCCCCTGGCGTATCTTGGCGTGAAGAAAATGCAAGGTAACTTTTCACGTTTCCCTGCGGTCGAAGTTTCAACAATGAAGCTGTTTCAGCAACAGGTTAATAATAATGTTATTATCGGGGGTTGAACGTCTCCAAACCACGATATGAATATGAAAGACGCCGTAGTGGAGGGCTTAGAGTTTTTTGACCACCTGCTGTTCTAACGTACACGGACATAGGACAGAACGCGGGCTGTGTACTAAATTACCACCATAAAAATGCGACCGCCCCGGCCGGGATCGAGCTCGCGACGTTCGGATCAGCAAGCGAACAGAGCCACTGTTCCACCGAGGCGGACAGCCACGGGTCAGGCCATTTGGTGTGTGTCGAGATGCTTAGCCGTGTGATGAAGTCACCATGCGCCACCATCAACATGTGGCAAAGAAATTGCTATCAGAGAAGTGTGGAGAACCAATACATGAATCGAGATAAAGCTTCTGACCAGTTAGCATTTGAATCCGAGCACGCACGGCCCAAATGCGAGCGTCCTGACGGCCCAGCTGTCCAGGCCATTTAGCACGCTCTTGACCATATACTGCGTTCGACACGGTGTTCGCCTTCTAACCCGAAGGTCGTGGGCTCAATTCCGGCGAAGGTGGTCACACTTCGGTGGAAGCGGAATGTTAGAGTCCTTGGTACTGCATGTGGTTGACATTTCAGGCACCCTATCTCAGCGTTCCTTATAACCATCACGGGCTTTTGGGGTGGTAAATAGAATATATTATTGTTATTGACCCTGTCCTACTTATAGTGTTGGTCTATAGTCCGCAAGCAAAACAAAAATTGTAACACCTAAAGGCTGCTTTTCCATCCTCAAAATTTGTAGGTGACGGCTGTCAAAGCTGTCCCGCGATGTAGCAGTTCTCTTTGTGTGGCGTAGTAGTTTTTTTCTGTGTGGATTGTTTGTTACATGTCTAGCTTATATATTCGAAATAGAAACACAAACGCATTTTATATTAAAAAAAGCGGAACCAGTACCACAAAGGTCATTTATTTCCATACTAGCACGCCTTAAATATTTTGAGCACTTGTGGTTAAGACTTAAAGTATTTTTCGTTCCTTTGGATATATATTACTTCTAAGAACGTTTTATGGCAACTTTCAATAACTTTTGTGAAATATATTGTAACCTGTATGCTGTGAGAGCAAAACTTAGAGACTTAAGGTAATATATTCTAGTATAAGGTAGTTTTTCAAACTCCTACAACGTGGTTTTTGCATAAAAGAAGGTTTATAATAATTAGAAAATAAAATATCGATAAAGAACGTTATTCTCACTGTTAGTTCACTAGAAAAATGTTTTTGGTTCTGTGACAATTTGCATGTAGTTGACGATATGTAAGTGTTACGTCCCAAAACCACGATATGATTATGACACACGGAAATTTGCATGTCGTTATTCATGAATCAGTACTTTCACTGTTACCGAAAATTATTTTATGAAATCTCGTTTCTCTATTCTGGTTCATTGCGCTCTATGTTTACATATAAAAACGCAGTCATAAACTGCTAATCTGCAAGCATTCGCGTCTAAATGTGGTCATCTGTACTGACCTGAAAAAAAAAATAAAAGGGAGCGTTGAAAGTGAATAATTCCCACGATTGGGGCTGAGATTAGAAAATAAGGTGCTTTCCCTATACCACTTGCGTAGGACATCCTTGCTTTTTAAAGGCCTGCATATTGTGGTCCCTGTTTTTGGAGCGATAAATCTATCAGACTCACCCAATACTTTTACTAGTCATAAAGCTTTAGCAAATGTTTTATATAGGGACAAGAACAACCACTAGAGGCGCCCTCGCCCTCGCGTGGGCATTGGAGTGGCCCCAGCGCTGCAATTGTACGGCATATGTCCGAACTGCTAAACTTGATAGAGTTCCCGTGAAGGTTGTGTACACTTTCAGAGTATTGATACCTTCAAGGAAACTTGTGGGAGCTGTAATATAGAGCAATTCAACATCGAGTGAGGCCTTGAAGCCAGATTTTCGACGGCAACAAACACATGCTGCTTCTGCTGTGAAATATGCTACCACTATAAAAGCATGCTTTTTTTTCTAGAAGCATCTAGCAAAAACTTGTGGATGACCCAACGCCTTTCAAGGCCTCTGGTGGTTTTTAACGCGTCGCATACATGCTGTGGTTGCTGCTATTGACAGCGCATATGGAATATTTCTAGTCAATTAGACATTTGGTGTTCGTATGCAAAGATATTCTAAAATATTCACGTGTTTATTGAGCCAAAAATTATTTTAATTGAGTCAGTGCTTTGAATTTACCCCTTCATGGCTATCGAGGAATACTTCATGCGGCTTTTTACTGGTTTTCATGCTATGTTTCACGTTTATTTATCACCACGGCACCATACCACGTTTAAAAGTCGGTCGTTCGTGCAATTTAGTTCCTCAGACATTCTTTATTCCGCTCTGTAGTTTACTCGCGATCTGCTTTCATTGTCTTTTTTTATTGTTTACTCTGAAGGCGAAAGCCTTTAAAGTGGCTACGATGTTCATACGTGTGGGAGTACTTTGTTGTATTGCATCTGCATACGAGATAGAGCACTGCACGAGCCAGGCCTGGTAAGACATTGCCGGATCAGGCTTGGCCTGGGTTAAAACCCATGAGCCTCGAGATCGGGTCGGGCCCGGGCCTTAGTCATGCGCGTATTAGGCCGGGGCCTCATATACAGGATGTTTCAAGAAATTTTTTCAATATCATTTAAAAAAAAACAGAAAAGAGACATCGGCGTGCTACCTGAGGCCTTCCCTTTACATAAGACATCTTCAATTGTGTAAAGCATTATTTAGAACAATATTTACTGAAATTTAAACAATCAACTATTTATACAATTACAAGCAGTTGGCGTTTCATTGAGGGTGTTTTCAAAGTGAGTGGTACATGCGATGTTTGGTGCGACGCTTTCGATTTTGTCAGCTGAATTATCCAGATTTCATCGCTCCTTGGTGATTACAGGCGGCTGCTTTTCCGAAAATTCTCAAGTACAGACTATTCGTAGGAAGAACATTAATTCGCCCCTTCGAGTTCACTGGCTATTTTCATTTGTTAAATAGTTACTTGTTTTAATTCCTCTCATTACTGCAGTAATTAATGTATCTATCCAAATGATGAGTACTTCTGGCAAATTAAAGGAGCGCCACCGGTGGGACGCAGATGCCTCCTGTCTGTAATTTTTAATAACATTGGGCATTTTTCGAAACACCCTGTATGTAGATATAATGACCTGTTTACCTGTTCGATTTCGTTTTTTTAACATTCTGAAGTGACCCAGGTTACGTGAGATGACGTAGTTTAGGGCTTCGTCTAAGTTATACCACATTGAGTGCATTATCATTAGCATTCATTGAAAACAGGTAGTACAAGACGCCTAGAATTTATCTCTGTCGGTATGATATACACGTTTTTCATAAAACTCTTAATATATTTACACCATTATATTGAGTGAAAGACGCTCTCGCATACTGTAATGGTGAATTCCGCTCGTAGATTCGGAGCGGCCACCGAAATTCTGGAGCTAGCACTCTGATTGCACTGCGCCAGATTTACAAGTAGAACACGTACATTTCCCACGTGAGGTCGCTCCTCAAGCTGTTTAAGCATACGTCACGAAACCAGTAGCAGAAACTTCTTGGACGTAGCCGATTATCTTTGATCGTGGGTACGGCTGGCCAGGAAATATTTTCCTATACATCATTTCGTATAGCACATGTGGCTCGTCGTCCTCGCTGCTGATGCCGGTAGCAGAAGTAGTGCTCTCGCTGTCTCTCAAAGCGAGAAGCAAACCAGCAACAGCGCATCCAGCAGAGTAAAACGACGCCATCTTAGAAATGTAAACAAGTGCACAGGGTGACTAGACAGACAATGCCTCAAAAGACGATGAAGAGAACCTAGCTGCCGTATTGTACCTGAAATAACAGCAACGCATTCTCGTAGTTCTGGTGAAATCCATCTCTGCAAGACGGAGCACGAGGAACGCTTCATCACTGAGTGGGTTGCTACGAATCTGCCAGTAGAAAACGCGAACTTTCTCCGAATCTACCAACTGAATGCGGATTCTCGGTGGTGGAGCAAAAAAAACTTGCTCCCACTTGACGAGTAAAATTTGCCATAAAGAAAAGTTTGCCATGT